ATGCGCCCGAAGCTGCGAAGCTGCCGGGGCGCGTGGGCAAGAGCGGGAACCCGCACCTTCCGCCCGCTCGCCTCCCGGAGTTGGCGAAGTCGGGAATTCTTTAAGCGAGGCTTTATTAAGGGGTCACCCCGAGCCCGGGAGAAGGCAGATTATAAATAAACAAAAAACAACAACACAATGAGTCAGTGGACACTTCCGAACACAAAACAGCTTTTGTAATGATATGCCCATCATGCTTCCTGGGGCTCCTTAAATAAATATGAATAACCCATCCAAGGAATAAACATAGATTACACGCACCGTGGGTTTCCATGCTTTTCTCGGGGAAACACTGCACGCCGTTTTCCTGTGATTCAAGAAGATGCTGCAGCGCCGTTTACTTCAGTTTCCAACTGAGAAGTCTAGGAGGAAGCCCAGCCCCAAGCTCAAGCAAAGTCAGAAAGTCCCACTGCTCAGTGGAGAGGAAAGCCCGTGTTTCTTTCAAGTTGCTGGGTGGTGTAAGGTTCGCTGGACTAGAGCTCTAAGTAATGCCTCTACTTGTCAACTTGCCCTTAAATAAAACGCTAGGCAGTGGTTCTCAACCTTCCTAATGCCGCGACCCTTTAATACAGTTCCTCATGTTGTGGTGACCCCTAATTTCATTGTTACAAATTGAACATAATTAAAGCATAGTGATTAATCACAAAAACAATATATAATTATATATGTGTTTTCCGATGGTCTTAGGCGACCCCTGTGAAAGGGTCCTTCCACCCCCAAAGGGGTCGCGACCCACAGGTTGAGCACCGCTGCACTAGAGCAAGATATTTTGAGTTCCAAGCTGCACCACTGTTCAGCGTGGGAGCTACTAGCCACTTCGTGGTTATTGACCAAAGTGGTGGTTAGTCTGAATTGAGATGTGTTGAATGTGAAAATATACACCGAGTTTTGAAGACAGTATTGAAAAATTAATGCAAAATATCCTTGTTAATGATTTTCATGTTGGTCACATGTTAAAATGGCACTTTTCAAATATTAGGTAAATAAAATATATTACTAAAATTAATTTCACCTGTTTGTTTTCCCCTTTAAAATGTGGCTTGCATTAAAGAAAATTTAAAATTACATCTGTAGCTCACATATGAGGTCACATTATATTCCTATTGGACAGTGCTGGTTTGCAGTTTACAACCTAATGCTAAAATGCCTGAGCACTGAATTCCCTCTGTCATCACCCCTTCCCCGCCCCCCCCCCATTCCTGTCTCTGGTTTTGGCTGCCTCAGGTAGTTTAGCCACACTACAGAGCTGGTTAGGTAACTTTTGCTCCCGAATATCAATGCCTTTAAGAATATAAGACAAAGTTTAGTCTAACATCACATGGACATGAAAAGAGATCCAAAGAAAAGAAACCCTTTTTTTCTTTCAGTTCACTGTGCAGTAAGTCGGCCTTTCAGATGGGCTTCTTTGAATTTCTGAGTGTTTGTGATATACAATTCCACACACAGTGAAGATATACAGATTTCCATACAAACACACAAAGATTTAGAACTTTCTAAATTCCCCTAAGTATTTTTTTACTGCACTGAGATTTATAGGTGTAGGGGAGAAGGAAATAACTTTCCTTCTCCCCTTTTAAGTTCTTCTGGCTAGACCAATAATCAAATCAATGTGAGACAGATTAATAGGAGAAAAATAACCAAATTTGTTACATATGTACATACAGGGTTTCCACAAGAATATGGGGCTGGAGGAGAGATGGGGCAGTTGAGGCTTATATGATGTATTCCATCTTGGGCTAAGGAGAAGGGGGTTGTGGTTTGGAATTCCAAAGGTCAGAAAGGCAATTTATATGGAGCTGGAAAAGCAAATGTTTGGTAAATAAATGTTTGCTGGGCCATCTTTAACAATGGGACCCAAAGAGGACTTTGGTCAAGGACTTGCTAGGTTCCTCCCTGTCACATGAGTTCATATTAAATTGTAGTTACCTATGATGATATCTCCCTTTTGGGGGTAGTTCTCCATCTAACTTCTTTTAAGCAGTTGGAGGAAGGTCAAAGGTTTTTCCTGAGTCTTTTCTTTCCAAAAAATAACCAGCTTAAAATAATCAATATCCCAAAAGGCATATTTTGGGGGTGGCAAATTGTGCCCCCTCCCCCAAAAGCAAACATTTAGGTAGAAAAACACTAATACAACAATTCCATGAGTACTTCTTCAAACTGGGAACACATACATGATTCAGAGGAAAAAACTTAAACCGGACTTTTTAGTTCACTGTGTAGTAAGTCAGCCTTTTAGATGGACTTTACTAAATTTCTGAATGTTTGTGATATACACTTCCATACACAGTGAAAATATACAGATTTCCATACAAACACACAAAAATATAATGAGAGCACCACAAATTTTGAGAATTTTCAATCAAGGAAATAGAGAGAGAGAGAAAGAGAGAAGGGGGAGGAATCATAAAATCTCCCATCTTATGTCACCTCATGCTTTATTCTACCTAGTGTTTGGTACTCAACTATGAAGTTTAGGCCAGGATTACTATCCTCCATGCCATCATTTCTCTGGTGGTTAAAAATGGCTCCAATCTCTCCTCATTGCCCCTCTGTCCAAAGCATATTCCAAAGGCCTCCTTCTTTCCACTTGTGATCTCTCTTGGCCTCCTCTTTGTGTATCTTTGTGTCATTTGATTTTGTTTTCACCTTCACAAGATTCCTCCCTTGATGTCTATGACAGACATTCTATCAATCATCTCAAATTTTCCTCTAGTTTTCCCCGCATCTTCTTTTTCTTACCTCTCTGGAAAGCCAACCTTCTTTACATTGTATCTTACCTATTTTGTTTAACAAATAATTAAATAACACTTATCTTGCCCTGGATGGCATTGCCCAAGAGTCAAGGGTTTGATTCTGGTCAAGGGCATGTACCTGGGTTGGAGGTTCCATCCCTGGTGTTTCTCTCATCATGGATGTTTCTTTCTTTCTTTCTTTCTTTCTTTCTTTCTTTCTGCCTCAATTCAGTTGTAGGCTTGATCCCGAACCCAGTTGGGGCACCATGTGTGGGAGACAAGGCAACCAATCGATGTATCTCTCTGACATCAATGTTTCTTTCTCTCTACTCTTCCCCCTCCCTTCCACTCTCTCTAAAAATCAATGGAAAGAAGAATATCCTTGAGTGAGGATTAGCAAAAACAAACAAACAAACAAATACAAACACCTTGTACCAGAGCCTGTTCCAAGCTCTTTACCAGCATTAATTAATTAGCTAATTAATTAATTAATTACAGCCATTAAGTAACAAACATTATCCCTACTTTGCAACTGAGAAAACCGAGGCTCAGAGAGGTTGGCTTGCCCAAGGTCACAACCTGGTAAGAGACAGATTCATTTCCAATCCTGAAGTTTTGCCTATCTCCCAGGTATTTCCACTTGAATATATTTAAATTCCACATGTACAAACTAAAACTCACCACCTCCTCTACCCAATTGTAAGCTTGCTATCCCTTCATACTCACCCATTTCTGTTGGCAGGACTAGTTCCCTGTTTGCCAGGCTTAAAACTTTGGAGTCATCTAGTGGGGGGAAAGCAGGAAATCTGGTTCTGGCTTCAGCTTTCCACTCCTGCGTGATCCTGAGCGAGTCACACCCTGCTTGGATCACAGAGTGCTTTGTCTTAAAATGCCACCATCCGTTCACCTCTCTGAACTTTATGATTGTGTCAGCCCTAGCTTTTTCCTCTTCTTTACCCTTCAAATCTAATCACCTACCAAGGCCAGTCATGTATTCTTTATTTTTACAAACATCACTCCTTTATAAATATCACTGTTCTTACCCCTTCCATTCTAGTCAGGCCCTTGTAAATTAATTATCTGAATAATAGAAATAAGATTGAAAATGGCCTCCTCGCCTGTACTTTCTCCTTATTTCAATTGAACCTGACTCTACCACTGTATTAATTTCACTAAAATATTTGTTTTATCATGTTTCTTCTCTACTCGGTTAACTTTAGTGGCTTTCCATAGTCTCTACGACCAAGTGTGACCTTTTCCCACCAGCTTATAGTGGCTTCTCCACTACACGTTACTAGCTCTATCCTGTACCTCCCAGAGGGAAGATCTCCCATTTGTCCCTAGAGAAGGAGTGTTTAGGGTTTGTTGGGGCCTCCTCTGCTTATGTCATCCTTTCTGCCATCTTTACCCGACATCCTTCAAGGAATATCAGTCCCCATCCTTCAGAGTTTGACTCAAGTTGGTAAATTCCACCTCTACCTAAAAGGGTATCTCTTTCAGCCTGACAGCACTCTTTAATTATGAAAAAGTGTAGGTGGTCACCAATAAAAACAACCTAATGGAATGTAAGGTCTATGGGACTATAGAGAAAACTATATCCATGTGTACATCTTGCTTATTCCCCAAACATTCAAGACCTCCATCAGATATTATTTAAATTTCTCCTTCTGTGATCATCAATTAATATTGCAATGCCCCCTTCCCAAGTCCAGACACTTCCCAACTCCCTTTTCAACTTTGTTTTTTTAAGCAATTATCACTCTCTGACATACTGTATGTTGTTTTTCTTTTAATATATTTTATTGATTTTTTACAGAGAGGAAGGAAGAGGGATAGAGAGTTAGAAACATTGATGAGAGAGAAACATCGATCAGCTGCCTCCTGCACACCTCTTATTGGGGATGTGCCCACAACCAAGGTACA